TTATTTTAGTTAACTAAAATGTTTTATTTTATTTCAGTTTTCGTTATTTAGTTAGTTTTAGTTAACTATAATAACCCTGCCTTGTTGTTCTGCATGTCCTTGTTGGCACCATTCTTCAGTAGCATGATGGCAGCCTCCACATTATTTACAGCTGCAGCCCAGTGTAGAGCTGATTTACCTGAAAACACACAAAAAAAGGATTATTAGAGCTACAAGTGTGGTTTTGATGTGGTAAAAAAAAAATCCCACTCAGCACTAAAACTGAACGTTAAGGCTCATTTAATAACAGAGAACACAGAGAAACCTTACCAAAATCATCAATGGCATTCACATCAGCATGGCAGTTAATYAGCTCCTCCACCATGCCTTCCACCGCCAGCCTGGCAGCTAAGATCAGGGGCGTGGTGCCATCATGCATGCGGGCATCCAAATCTGTGGCCCGGTTCCTTATCAATATCTAAAAAGAAATATATTTAGTCATTTTTAGCTACTTCAGTGTCAATTTCAGCRTTGTTTCCTGTAGAATAAAGCTCACCTGGAACACCCCCTGGGCATCGGCTGCCACGGCAGCGTGCAGCGGCGTCCTGCCCATGTTGTCCTGGATGTTAGCGTCAGCGCTAGCCTCCAGCAGCCTTTTGGCGGCGTCGGAACGGGCGTAGCGCGCAGCCAGGTGAAGCGCCGTTTCACCTGTACGGTCGGTCTGGTTGTGAAGGTTAGCGCCTTGGTAAATGAAGTCGTTGATGACGTTAGCGGAGGCATCCTCCTCCTCCTCGCTGTTGCCCGTTTCTAATCCTCCTCCACTGCAKGACGCAATCATCAGGGGTGTGAATCCATCTAAAGAGGAGGAAAGAGAGAACTCGCATGGTCAGCAAAACTTTGAAAGACCAAGTAACTGCAACAAAAAGACAAGAAGGGCTGCACTTCAAAGCACTGGGCAGATCAAAACAAAGCAGCAAACAAATTGAATTTGGATTTGACACTTTTGCCTGGGTTGAATCATCACGGCTCTGTCTTTCGATAATGGATTCTGATCAAGGCACCGGCACAGGAGGTGCCTCAGAGGGAAAGCGAAGCTGTGGGGATAGAGGCAGGGTTTGCTTAAAGCTTGACTGCTGCAGAAAACCGAAGCAGTAATATCTAACTGAGAGAGGCGGCTCAGTCAGATGATTTGGATAGGTTTTCTCCTCTTCAAACGGATAGCAAGCCCCAGATCTCACAGATTTGGTCGATTCAAGTGCATCGATCCATGATGGAGGAAAAAAGTGAGCTCTCAAGTTGTTAAATCAGTTACTTTGATTTTTCATAGCTGTTCTTCAGGGATTATGGCACTTAGTACAAAAGTGGGTTTTTGCATTTGATGCCATCATTGGTTTTTGTAATGCAGAATAGAAAAGAAAAACAGAGACCCATTACTGGTCAAATGATTAATCTGATCAGGAATCAGTGTTTTCCCTCAGGCTCCTGGCTTCCAGCCAGCTGCTTTGAAGAAKATCCTTTACCCTGAGGACATGGGGCTTTAGCAACTCCTTCATGCACAACTGCACACACACACACACACACTAAAAAAATAACACACTTGCTCAGAAATTTTCATTTAAAAACGTACATTTTTAAGCTTCTGTTCAATTAAACTGAAGCAACACACATTTCAGTCCTTTCATCCGTTAGAAGTACTTGAATATTTTCTAGTTTTCTGTTTTATTTGTAACTCAAAAAGAAAGATTATCCTCATGTTTGAAGTCTGGATTTTATAAACGCAAACATATAGGAGTAATAGACAATTTATTTTGCATTTTAATTTAATTAAATATTTCTGTACATTAATTTAGGCAGATCAAACAATGATTCCATGCACAATTTTCTACACAATGATACAAATRACACCTAATTATTCTGCATTGTATTAAAAAGACAGATTAACAGAATAAATGCCCGCAGTAAAATGGGCATATTAATTACCGTAACTCATATGTTAGAATTACCCACCTGGTCCCCGCACATTGACATCCATGCAGTCGTTTTCAATTTCACCCTGGGGGGGAGTGGGAGCGATGGAGGGGATGCGCAGGTCAGCGGCGTCCAGGTGCTGCTGGGTCCACTGGCGGTGATCCGTCTGGTCGTCAACATCGAGCACAGCCTGCTCGTCAAACTGCTGAAACACAGACAGTAAGATTTTAGGCAAGGAGAGGTAGAGCTTAAATCAATTTAAACATTTTTTTATTTTATCAGAAATAGACAAATATACATATATAT